ACGTTTGAACGCCTGCCATCCCCGCTCAAACCTCAAAACTTGCCAGCGCATCGCCCAAGCGCGCTCATACCGTCTGTTGACCTTCACGATAGTTGGCTCTTAGTCGGTAAGATCTTCGGTAGTGGCTCTGACTCCGGGACATTGCCCTAGCCTAGCGTCAATTACCCCAGGCTTCGCTGGCATGTTTCAGTCAACACCATCGCGATATGAAAGGGCCGTTTGACGACAATCAGGATATTTACATTCCCGAATGATCGCGATCTCTCGATCGTGTCTGCGATTAACGGGCGCATCAGGTTGATCACGATCAGTCTCATGATGCCAGGGCAGACCTGCAAAGATCGAGATCAGGCATGCACCATCTTTTTTCCGAAGTCTCGGTAGATGGACACCTGCTCCACTCCATAGAGGCGCCACGGTAGTATGCAGCCCTAAATCACCCACATGTCCATCGCATTCACAGATGTACGTCATTGCTCACCAGCCTCTTTTGTCGCCCTGATTTCTTTAACGTTATGAAAGCAAACGACAACAGCGATCTTGCGGTTTTCGCCGTGCTGATGCATGCTCTAGCCTCCAGCTATTGACATAGCAAGCCGAGGCATTTGCATGACGGCGCTATCGAAGCTCAACCAACTTGGGGTCCAAGAGGCGGGGGAGACATGGCGCTGGACAAGCGGAACAACCCCCGGCCACTCTTCGACAACACCGAGGCTTCTGAAGATACGAGCACATGGACACCGTGCTGCTCCTAGCACTGCCCGTGAAGATGGACGGTCCTCATGCCGCGCAGAGACCTGTTGCGACAAGCTTCGATGCACGCGGCGATGACGATATCGAGAGTACCCCGGACATTTGCTAAAGAAGGTAAGTCGCGATGGCCAACCACCACGAAAAGCAAGATGATCATACGCAACGGTTATCACGAACCAAACAATAATACGGCGATCTTGAGACTTGAGGCAAGCATGATGCAAACCGTTTATCAGGAACGGCACCCATTGAACCGGTGCTGTGCGTTAAATCTACGATTCGATCGAGCGGCGAGTGAAGACCATGGTACGCTACCGGTAGAACCAAACCTTGGAGACTATCCCCAGACCCCAGATTTACGTAGTATCGGATGGCAATCCCGGAAGCAGCATAACGCCGCCCAGTATTTGTTACATCTCATTTCTTTTGTCTGCTGTTTCGTTACACGTCCCTGCAGGGCTCAAGTCTGCCAGAAGGTTCGGGAGTTCGTCGTGGTCAGCTGTCTCCTGATCTTGCAGCGGGCACGTCTTCCCCGCCGTCGTCGCAGGCATGCGCTTGCTGCTTCAGCTCTTCCCACGCGACGCATCCTTGCGTAGCGTGCGCCTCAGCAATACACTGCGTGCGGCACCGCTCTGCTCACCCATCAGCTTACAGACATTATCAAGAATCTGGTGACTCACTATGCTGCGGAGCAAGGACGAGCCTACTACCAGAAGTCAGCACACTATCGACAGAGGCCGTCTCGGGTATCTTCGGATACTCAGACGTTCGGCGCAATACAAGTCGGATGAAGCACTTTCCAGAACTCATTTTGCGCATCATGCCTTACTGCCTTACCTCATGATCTCCCTGGTCTGCAGACCCGGCCCCGCACGTGTCAAAACAACGAAGATGGACCGAAGTACCCTGAAAATCAGACAGCAACAGTCGGCGAGAACACCGCTCCATGGCGCGATTGTCCACCAATCCGCGTTCTTGCTATCTCGTGCCGATTATATCGCGGAACGTTGCTTAGCTTCCCCACGAACGCCGCTTACCCTGCAAGGACTCAAGTCGAGCGGTTAGCTAAACAGAACAGGCAATTCCCGCCCAAGCACTGATTCACGACTGACAAACAGAGTTTGGAGCGAAGGTTTTGAGATGTCAGGTGTGCTGTTGAAACTGTGGAACTGGTGGTTACACTTCCCCAGACTGGCAACCCCGGACGTCGCAGGTTGCTCAAATCCATACGTGTCAAGGGTACCACTTCGCACGCCCCATACCTTCGACCCTCGACGCGAAGACCCTTTTCGCATCAGTTGCTTCCATGGTTGTTCGCTGCATCAAAGATGCTGTCATCAATGCGCCTCACTTGCCAGAAGCCGCGAGATCCTGGTCACGAACCTGTTACAATCTGGAGACAATGGGTCGCGACACATCATGGGGTAGAAAGCATATCCCTTTCTGGGGTGAACTTGCTCGAGCTTCGTCATGGAGTCTGGGATCTATGACGTACACACCGGATCCAATGCAGGTACCAAGGCCCAAGACGTCGATCATGAAGTTACTAGATTGGGTAAACCGGGTCAAACCTCTCCCCAGGCAGGCTAAATGCAGAACACTGGTAAATTACAGCGCGAAAGATATGTCTTTGTCAGCCTCAGGGTTGTTCAGCTCCCCAACACAAGACATGTTGCGGCAGGATTGTTGGCTTGCTTCAACAGAGCTGCTCATACGTCACACAAGAAATCCAACAAGATCGCGCTGACGAAATAGCGATGGTAGTTTGCTGATTGGCATGGCTAGGCCTCACCACCAATATCGATGTTTCTCTCAACAAGACCTCTGGTGCCCGCAAGTGGTGTGGAGTCGTTATCGCCAGCGCCAACAGCCCCTCCGCTCCACCGGATCGATTGGCTACGAGCGGATCTCAGCCCTTTTCGCCTTTTGCCATCGTCACACACAAGCGAAGATTTTCTAGAAGCCCCAGAGAATATTACATCGTTTACGCCTAGAGCTATTTGGCATCGCCGCGCAACAAGCTTTTTTATCCTTCCGGTGGCCATCACAGACGAGTCTTCCGTATTCGGCACTCGCGAGGCTGGCGACGCGTTGACGCGCATGCGTGCAGGGTGTTGAATGTATCGATTGAGCTGATTCATGCGTCATTGTGCTCGCATTGGGTATGCAACATGCACAAATCACACAATCGTATCCATTTCCTCATGAACAGCGTCACTCATGCGCAGCTGTCGACGCTGCAGCACATTGATGTCGGCAAATCCGACGGACGCTGACTTGCGAATGCATGCATGCATGAACCGAGTTTCACGTGCCAAACCTGCGCGGGCGCGCATGTGTGCGGTGCTTGCCGAGCTCCACCGACACGCAAGCAACGCAAGTTCACGAGCGCAACCAGGGTTGTTGTTTCAACGGAATCAAAATGGCAGGTACGTACCTGCATTGCTACCCAAAGCACTGTTACATCGGACGTGATATCTGCACGAGTCTGAATGAAGATGAGTTTTTTCTTTTCTTTAGTTGGTTTTGCAAGTCACATTGTCATGATCCTTCCCCATCAAAGTAAAGCTCGCATGCAAAATCTCGAATTCTACTCGCTCTACAGGGATCAATACCTCCACCTGGGGGCGTAAATCCTCGCATAGTTCCCGTTGTCTTTTGCTGTCACATGTCTGTATACTCCGCAGTTAAGGGTTGCAGATGCGCGGACGAGAATAATTCTCAATCTCACCCGTACATTTCCGATAAAAAGGTCCACTGTAAAGCGCACAACGAGTAGTTCCCGCGGGTCCAGAACTTCTCGGTTATTTCTGTACATGTGGATATGGCATGGAGTTGAAATGCCATGTTCCATGTCCGCAGCTGACAGCGTCGCGACCCACAACGGTGAATGCTCGGCTCGAGCCTCTTGAGTATCTGAGCCACAGCCATTTTTCACCGCCACGCAAGCGGTGGTTTGAGGGGCAACGTTACACCGGTATCAACTTACTCGCAACGAGTCTAGTTTTCTTTCCTTCGTTTAGACTGCGATGGATGCTAGTGGGCTACTCCTTCCGGCATGGTAAGACAACGATAGTCTATCCTCGGAGGCTCGGCTCGGTTTCTCCAGTCCCAAGCGAAGTAAAACCCATAGCCCTACAAACCACCGATGCCAGCTAACCTCCGATGCTCTGCCTCCGGCTTACGCCTGCCTACGCTTAGACGAACGTGTTCGGCATATCGAAAAACAACGGCAACTACGCAAGTGTTCCTAGCCTATCCCAATCCTCCCGAGAATAATCGCGCGGTGAATCGCATGTGGCATTCACTCTCACGCCCTTCTAGACTCTGCATTAGCGCCGCTTCGAGAAGAAGCATCACCCTCGCATAACGCATACAACCCACAGCAGCCAGCAACACCACCTCCGCGCACTAGTTCACCGGCCGGGAATATCGAAGCTTGTAACCTAAGCCCATCGCGAACCACCGTTGCCATCGCTGTCTCATCTCGACTCCGAAGCAAAGACTTTGCTGTATCCACAATCCAGCCACTTCGGAGTCTTGTGCGATGGCACGCTATCGAACGATAGCTGGTGTAAGAAGTCTGCCCGTGCCGACTCCGAACAAATGATAGGTGAGACGATACAGACTGGCACTACTGGATATTGGATATGGAGGCGGCTGGTATCGGGGGTCGGAGGAAGGTGTTGAGGCTCTGCGGGTACGTGCATGACCGCCGATGTGGGTCCTGTCGGTGTCGCGAATTGAGTATTGGAGTGTTCGCTTGGGTGGTGTGTAGGGTTTTGGGTGTAGTGCTGACGGCCAGCTGTGAACTGTTGAGGTATTGTATTTTTTGACAATGAATGAGGGCTTTTTGTTACACGCAGGGGTAAGACAGCGATAGCGAAGGTGGCTTGTGTTGTGATGAATTGTGTATCTGTGCCTGAGGCTAGGTGTGGAAGGTGCGTAGTGGGGTGTAGGTATTACTACCTCTGCTTTCTATTCGCGCGTCTTGCTTATTCGTAGCATTACCATGTGTACCTATCATGTCGTTTGCATGTCAACATGGTAGTTGTTCCATGCTGGAATACCTTCCTCAAGTGTAGCCGTATATCGGCCGAAAGAGAAAAAACTTCAACCTACCTTTCCCACGCCCAACTTGAACACCTCACACCAGATGCTACAAGCCTCCTGCGCCCGTACTGCTTCAATTCAGCCCTCACAACAGTCATTGAGTACACGTTAATTTTCCCGAAGCCAATATATCAGCCCGGCTAGCTCAATCGGTAGAGCGTGAGACTCTTAGCTTTCACGTCCTAACTAGACTCGATTGGTTCATCTCAAGGTTGTGGGTTCGACCCCCACGTCGGGCTTAAGTTCTCCTGCGCGCTGCATGATGTGTGAACAACTTTTTTTGGCGGTTATGGATGACGGTGTTGCGGTTCTTATGTTTTTTGGGGGGTTTGGGTGGATGCCAAGGAACGAAGCGAGAGGAAGATGTTGAGAAGCAGCGGGGAAATGATGGAACACTAGAACATGTATGACTGCTGTATGATAGCAGTAGGAAGCAGAAAGCTGATAGATGTGCTGGTCGCTGCGTCTAGTGCATGATGTAGCATGTATCGCACTGTCTACATCGTGCGCCGACTACAAGAAGTACAAGAATAGGAAGACCACTTAATCCTACGCGCTTTGATGGCTTTGCTCCCACAGCGTGGTATCTAGAGAATACTAAGAGAACGAACCTCGCGACACTGAATAGAGCATTGAAGCGGTAATGCTTCCCAGAATTAACAATATCAACAAGATCGCGTCATGTCATGGCCCCTTGTATTAGGATTCGCCAAAGGTTTTACACTGTATTCGTACGTAGTTTGAAGTACTATGCGCGTATTCCCTTCTTACTTGCAACTCAAAAACCTTCACTCTGTTAGAACGCATGTCGCAAACATAGTCTCCTTAGAAGGTTCCGCAAGACTACATGTAAGCTGCCTACTTCGTCTTCTTACGGCATAATAGGTAATTGGACAATATTATGTAGCATTCTAAGCACTGCGCGAAGGAACATCTAGCGAACAAGTTCAGTTCAAGTTAGGGGTTTTTAGTGAGGACTCACGACAGAACAGCGTTGTGTAGAGAATGGACATTCTTCTACTCTATGTACTATCTACACCGATACCACAACTTCCTCTCTCCCTCCGACCCATCTACCACCTCCATCCACATCCATACCCGCTCTTACCCATCCCATCCACAAACCACTCCATGTCACACTCCCCTCCCACCCACCCCATCCCTCAAGTACATATCATCACGACTGGCTACCGTTCCCAAGTGGGTGGGACAGATCAGCCAAGATGCGAGAATCCATGTCTTGTCAATCATGCCAACCTTGCTCATTTCTCCGAGTGTGCGAAAGAATGAGCTGGATGGTCATGAAAGCTTCTCCCCTCCCTCCCACCCTCAGCAATGGATAAACAATCCCCTGCGAGAAGACGCCTTCTCGCAGCTTCTCGCGACTGACGTAGCCGTCAGTAGCCCAAACAGATGAACCGCCGACGCTCCCAAGTGTGTGGAATTGTCAGCCAAGGGATCCGTAGATTCTTGTCTCAGTCAAACCACGCAGACCGGCGTAGCACTGCCGTAGCAGCTTTTGCGTACGCCCCGAGTGTGCAATCGTATGATCTGAGATATTCAAAACAGCTTCTCCGTGGATAAGCGACACCCATAAGGATGTGTAGGTATGGGTTCCGATGAAAGTGTGTCCATTGAACCCCGTAAGGTCGCAAAGCTTGTCCCTAAGGCCAAGCGACCGCCGTAACGGTATGACCTTGAACCACCTCACTCTCGCACGTCAGCGCGAGAGAGCGAAGAGTAAAACCGCAATTGGACCGTCTATGCGAACAAGAGCGACGATTGCAGTTCTGAGTTCAAGGTAAGGAAAAAGAGAAGAGGTGGGAGGGAGCGGGCGGGCGAGATTATATAGGCAGTGTGAGCGCGCGGCGGGGCGGTTGATCCGGCGCCGGGGCTGAGTAACGAGTGGCGATGATGCAGTATTCGGAAGGGCCTGGAAGCACGTGGAGGCTCCGTTTGCGGAAGGAGCGTGGATTTGGGGTCACTGGCGTGGTGAAGGTGAGTGACCGGGTAGCGCAGTGACGCGCCAACGACGACGCGCGCGAGGCAAACACGGGGAAGGTGAATGGTTGCATTCGATGATACGATCTAACAGATCCAGCTCTTCTTCGACTGATCAGGAAGCCTTGATTCGCATAAGAGGCGGTGATTACTTGTTTGCTCAGCTAGGCTACGAGATGTCGCATACACGCATACCCGCAACAGATGTATACGGCAAGAGATCATGAGATGTGAGCATCAAATAAGATGATATGAGTAAATTGATCCTAAACGCCATTTCCTAGCCCGTACGCGGGCGGTGGGTATCTATGCAGGCCGTTGATACACAGAGTAAAATACATTTGAAACCACAAAAACGCCGCTTGCCCCCTCATTCCTTGTCCATTACAACCACAATACGCCACGAATGTCAGCGCTCGAAGACTGATAAGGAAATAGCTCCGCGACATTGTCTGGGGCATCTTTCCCATCAAGGCAATCCTCCACCACGCGCATAATGCTCTCAAAATCAGACAAGACGCGTTTCGCATACGGCTGACTATAGGCCAAGTCATGTAGCATGCCCTTAGCGCGGTGGAAGGCCTCGATGTGGGCCTCGGTGTGGGGATGTGTACTTCCAGCAAAGTGGCGGACGAGAAGAGAGCAAAATACCAGAAGTGCATTCGACAGGGCCGATGTCATGCGATGCCGGAGGCTGAATGACTGACGAGCCTCCTGTGTAAAGAAGGTCATTTTTGTGAGGGTGGAACAGGCAAGCTGGCTGAGGTGTTCGGCATGATTGTCGTCGTATTGCAGGGAGATTATGACGGAACGTAACCCCCAAAGAACGAAGTCCGTCTTCTTCTGCTTGATGAACATGGTCAGCAGTGGTACACCTCCCTCATCCCGCTGAGCGTATGATGGCATCCCCAGTACTGGTAAGTCGTGATCGAGGTAGTGGGAGATCTGCCGGTCAATGATGTCCTGGGTTGTGCTATCCAGACTGCGACCGTCCACAGCGTTGCTGGCGTAACGCGCCCAGAGTATGACGTAGTGAACGTAGTGATCGATGAAAGGCCTTGGGTCATCACTATCACCGGGTTTGTAGAGGTTTGCCTATAGAACGTGAGCGTGAGGTAGCAGGAGGAGGAGGAGGACACGTTAATTTAGAAAGAAAGGAACACCCTGGAAGCGACATCGACGTCAAGACACCCACTTTGCATGTTCCATCTTGACGTAGTCTCCAGACCTGTTCAGGGGGACGAAGGATAGGAGTTGTGGGCTTTACTTACCCTTTGTGACAGGTCCACAGGCGCCTCGACTTGGATATCGGTTTCGTGGATTCTATATGGTCTTCCACAAGTCCACGAGATGAATCGGTCTTGGACGAAGATGTTCCAGAAGGTGCAGATGCGCTCATAGGCTTGAACCGTCGTTATATTTGTCCACGTGGACTGCTGATGTAGGGAAGATTGGAGAGCGAGTGTTGCAGCGGCGCCGATGGTGTTGTAAGCTGGGCCGGGCATGTCTGCGTATTGGTAGTAGATGGCCTACAACCGTTAGTCTATGCGCATCAAGTTTGGAGCCTTTGGACACGTACCTGGAAAAGGACACACTGTATCAGCGTCAAATCGCCACATCCGCTTAGTAGCGACCTCTTGTCGACGAGCTCGTCAGCCGTCTCAAGCCAGCGCCAGCCCTTACACTTGCCAGTGTCGATGGGTGCGACATTGAGGAGTACGTCACAGCATGCGAAGATGGTGTAGTTCAGCGCGAGAAACTCGCGATCTTCTGATGGTATGGTCGTGCTTGCTAGCATGTGTTGGCTGCGGTTGCGGAACTCGGGTTCATCTATGCACGGATGAGACAGGTGAATGTCGGTGAAGAAGGAGGCTAGGTACTGTTGGTAATCGGCGGGACTAGGAAAGGGTAGCTTCCTGTTGCCGACTTGTACGAGATGCGATGGCTCGCCGTTGATGGGGGAGCCAGCGCCTGGGTCGACGGGGTTGGCTGGCTCTAGGGAGTTCTCTGAGAAGAGCGAGGGCTGTCCCATGAAGGCGAGAGCTGGGTTGATGGGATCCAGCGGCGGGACAGATAACGCGACTTCACCCCTAAAGGCATCTTCGCCATTCTCTTCGCGCTCGACACTGCCCATTGGCGTCATGGTCAGGCCCCGGTCGCGCATGAGAGCTTCCATCATAGCCTCAATTCGGGCCATGCGCGCTTCCATGGTCATGCCGCGTGTGCTGGCATCGCTCGCCCTCCGCTCAGTACCGTTTTCCGACGGCATCAAGCTTCTTCGTGGTATGTTGTGGCCGTTGCCGTTGTTGCTGGTGGTCGAGGCTTGTGTGTGGAGGGCAGGTGTGGGTCGACTGAGGTTCTGCAGGGCTTCGGCGGCCGTCTGGTCTTCAGAGAAGAAGCATCGCTTGCCGTTGTCCATGCACCGTTGGCAAGGGTTTTCGCCGGAACACTGTTGACGTCAGTTGTTGACTCTCATTGTTGTTGCTGGGATAGTTCGTAGATGCGGAAGCGACGCTGTCGCACGAGGAAGTCGCGATGCAGTCGCGAGAGAAGTGGTCGAGGCAGCCAGTGTACAAAAGAGCGTACATACCTTGAGCTTGGATCGCCTGCATGATACACCTGCACAATCTGTCAGCCGGCTGATGGCATAACCTCGTCGTCCTGTCGAGCGAGCTTCGTCGAACCACTACGGAACCATCGGAATGCCGCATAGGAAGCTCGAGATGCGCCGAATCAGAGCGAGTGTCGCGACTTACATGCTTTGGGCGCGTACTTTTGACGGACCTTTTTGCGCTTGGGCGACGACGACCTCCTCTCGACGTCCATGTGCTCCATGGGCGAAGGATGGCTGTTCATGGCGCGATGGAGTTGTTGGAAGAAGGATGGCGCTCCCTCAAGCTACTTCGGAACGCGACCGGGATCCGGGCCCTTAGCGCGTCTTCAGCTTCCGTCCTTGTGCAGCCAACGACATCGCCTTTATTCCTCTATCCATCACAGACGTCGTCAGAAAGATTTGTATCAGAGCAACGAATTTCAAGCTGCACGAAGCAATCTTGCGCAGTTGGAAGTTTCGCAGAATGCCATTTCGAAGCGAAAGGTCCGGTAGGGACACGCCCAGCTTCTGACATGTGATCGCACAATCCTGAGGCCTGTTTCTATTGCGCATATCTACTTTCATGCCTACGGAACCACTCGACAACGGTCACACTTCACTGTCTTTCAGTCCAATTCCTCGGCA